CAGCAGATCCTAATTTTGTTTTGTGGGTCGAAATCAAAATTTTCTATTTGGCGCATTGCATGACGGTACCAGTGAATTTTAACCGTGGTGCAGCGCGGTCAGGCATAAGGCAGACAGGCAATGTGATCATCTTTCATCTTTGGTCTTGTTTTATGGAAAGCCATAGCTGGCTTAGAGTGATCAAACGGCATTTTGTTGGGTGCTTTTAGCTTGAGATTGTCTTGTATACATTTTTGCTTTCTTTGATAAACATTATTAAACACGCAAATTTTAATTAGTGAGACGCAATGTTAAATGTCACCTGCATGTCATTGTCATTGCCCTTTAACCCCTTGTCTAATTGGCCGCTTTTGAAAATGTTGATCATGACGAACCGCACTGCCTTAATTATGCAAACTTTGTGTTTTAAAAACGGGTTAGGATAAAACGCGGATACGGACGGACGGATGAATGACGGACGGACGGACGGATGGCGACGGACGGACCGGACGGATGACATATATATGTCATTATATAGTCTGCGCGCAGCCGCGCAGGGTAGTTAGTGGCTTACGTCTTCGCTGGTTGTTATACTTTAAAATAATTTTGTACCGATAAATATAATATATATAATTATATACCGATATATATAATTTTATACCGATAAATCAATATTCCGAGTATATAAATATATAAACTGGGATGTCACACTGATAGCTTGTTTACATTTCCTGGAGCATCATGAAATCTTATGTTTAACCACGGTGGTTTAACCCATTAGCTGGCAATGCGCCCTTCCCTTGTCCAACGCCAGACGATTTTACTCGTCAGTGGTATAAGGTACTGCCAGTAAATGGGTTAACAAACCTATCTGCCAATGGCTCTTGTTAATTCATCAACACAGTAATAGCCCCTACTTTAGTATTTACCCTGTCCAACGCCAGACGATTTTTAATACTCAGTCAGTGGTAGGGTACTGTCAATAAATGGGTTAACAAGGATAACAATAATAGGATGTTTCTGAAGGACTCGTTCAACACCCTGTAGTTTGTCTTTTGCTGTCAAAGGCAGCATTACTGCCCTGTGGGTAATTAGCGTCTAATTATAATATAGTATTCTTAATATATCAACTTATCTCTCAATTCGTCTGAGCTGAGCACAACTTTAAATGTTTATTCTTTATACTTCGTATTCCATCTTCTTTAATAATTCCACAATATTCCATCGTTCTTTAGTTTACTTGACGAGGCTTAACTATCTGGCCTTTTGATTATATACTTCAGCCTTTGTTGGCTTATGAAGTATTTTAGCCTAAATAGCTCTTCTCACTTCACTCTCCACTCTCGACTCTCAGGTTGTGCTCAGCTTTTATAATAAATTTTAGAGGAAGAAATCTATAACTATGACTAATTTCCTCTACGCAATATGTTTGTCAAAACAAGTTCTAGCAGTGTTTATCAACCACAAAACCATGTCCTGTTTGCGTGGTTTGTGGTACTAGGCGTTTCGCGTGGTTCTTTAATCTCTCTAAGTATTTGCTTACTCGTGCGAGGAAGGTTACCTAAGGTCTTCCTCTTATAATTATAACAGTACTGAATATATAGTATTGAATATATTAAATAATATGGTATAACAATGCCATGTTACAGTAACTGTGGTTACTATGGCAATAACGACATTTCAAAATGGCTGCTAATTTGTGTTTGGACATACTCAACAGAGTATTCTAGTTTAATTCGAAAACAACGTCTGTGATCCCCAATTTTTATTTTATTAAAAGTTTTTTTCTAGTATCAGCAATCATTAGGACAATTTTTAAAAAATTCTGTAGATCCAAAATTTTTCAAATCGAGAAAACGTGTTTATTCCTGACAAAAAACATTTTGGATCTACAGATTTTTTAAAAAATTGTCCCAATGATTGCTATACTAATAAAATGAAAGTTGGGGGTCACCGACGTTGTTTTCGAATTAAAATAGTTTTCGAATTAATCTATACAAAACTGTTTGGTAGGAAATGTGTCTTTTCCACTTTTCAAGAAACTGTATGGAGCCACCTTAAGTCCTTACCATTGAAATGAATATAACGCTACCTTCAGTCCAGATAAACTGCCTCTCTTTTTCTTGAAGTCAAATCTTGACCCCCAGACACGCGTGTTTATATCATGATTGACTAATTGAGCGCTCTTCCCATGCGTGAAAAGACTGGGACTGGCCTTCAAGTTTGGCTTCAAATTTCCGGTTGGAGGTAGCGTTCAGTTCTATTCTTTTCAATGATACTCACCTTTTTTAGTAGTAGATATACAGCAAAATGCCTGAAGAAGAAACAATATGATCATTGCATTAAAGTGCTTTATCAAGGAAAGAGTGAAATACTGTATTCTAGCTACAATACACAGTAAGCACGTCCACTGTCTACAATACTGTAGTAATCCCCATAATAATCTCTATAGTAATCTCTATGATGGGCTCCTTTTAGCAAACGCTAATGGTAAATCCAAGAAGACACTCGGGGGTTGTGCTTTTTCGCGTGTTGCTCCCAAACTTTGGAATTCTCTTCCAGCAAAAATAAGAAAACTGCGGAACATTACAACTTTTAAAATTTAAAAATACATGTAGGGTTAAGACATTTTTATTCAGTAGAACTTTTCAGTAATTGATTAGTGCTTTTACATGTATATAACTCTATTTCTCGTTTATTGTTTTATTGCTTATATCTATATGTACTCGTGTATTGTAATGCGCATTTGAATATTGCATATGTAATATTAATATAAATATTATGTGAAACTCATTAATAATTGAAGAAACACAAAAGATACAAAATCATGTTGATTTACATAAACTTTAAGTTCAATTTTCTCACCAAATATCATTCATTTTAAATTGTTGAAGAATACGAATGTTGCCATCCAGACGTTTCACAAGCCATATACACTTATTAATATTATCATGACTAAACTGTATGCAAACATTAATAGAGCTGCTCCCATCGGTTAATTTTCGTAATCGATTAATCGTTGTCAACAATCGATTAATATCGATTAATCGTATTGATAATTAATTTAAATATGAAAAGCCCAAGGTGGTTTGATAGGTTTCTAAATTGTAATACACTTTACTAAATTTTTTTTGGTTTCACCAGTCAATACAAACATTTTAAATCTGCGTTTACACGTTCTCGCGCTCTTACACTTCACATAAGAGACATGCGTGAAAGGACATGAAGAAAGGATATTAAGGATGTTTACTTTGGTTGTTTACCTTTGACACTCCTAAGCAAATTTAAGAGACTCTTATGGATAATAAATTGGTTTATGTCTGCACATCGCAATGTTGGACGCAAATGGTTATAAATTATTCTAATAAAACTTTAAAGATATTTTCGCTGCACTGGTAACCCGATCAGACTATGGTAAACTTTGCACGCTGCGAGTGAATTTGATCAGTATTTGACCCACAATGTTTTGAATCAACTTGTAATTTCATGTTTCAATCACAATCCTTGTCGCAATTTTTTTAATCTGGAAAGAAATTAACTCATTCCCGCATCACGCTGTGTGGTGTTATAGATTATCCGATTACTGTTAAGTATAATCGATTGTGGAAAAATAATCGATTGATCGATTAATCGGGAGCAGCTCTACAAACATACCACTGAACTCAATTCGTGTTCTTTCACCAGCTTGAGACAGGAATTATAACAGCTTTCCAACAGTCGCTTTCGTTTTCCTATTGGACCAACCGTATGAATCACATCTACACAACATAAAAAAAAATAAACATCGGCTCTAAAATCTCGTCTCCATGTCGCCTTTCTGTTGTTCTTCATGAATGCATGTACAGTCAGTAAAACCTTCTTGCAGAGTACTTTTACAGTGTATACAAATATACAAGTGTACTGAAACGGGGCATTTGACGACCAAATGATTTGCGTACTTACATTTAGCTGGAAGTTTTTGTCCTGTTGAAATAGAACAAAAACACGCATTAATACCACAAAGGAAGATAGTTAAGCTCGGATGAAACGAGGATGAGAGTACATGAGAGTTGACAGTCACGCGAGCTTGGTTAGCTGTTCTTAATGCTTTCCCAACACTATCATGTATTCTATTGAAGTTAAAACATAGTTGAAACATTCATCAAACTTTTATTATTTTACTCTAACGCCAGAGAATTTTATTCGTCAATAATGACGAATTTTATTCGTCAGAGAATTTTATTCGTCAAGAGTGCTGGCGCTCAATGTGTTAAAATACGTATTATACTGTACCTGTGGTGATTTTGGCATTGCCAGTGGCACATCCATTCAATTTTCTACATTCCTCCAAAAGTCCCTTGCCTGCAGCTCGATGAATAGAACCATCAACTAAACAGTAAGCAATGTTGTGTTAGCGAACAGGATAGATTTCCATCAAAACCTGTCTACAAGATGCCACTGAGGAATACAACCTACCTCCACAACCTCAATGAGAGTTGACAGTCACGTGAGCTTGGTTAGCTGTTCTTAATGTTTTCCCAACACTATCATGTATTCTATTGAAGTTAAAACATAGTTGCAACATTCATCAAACCTTTATTTTGTTCATCTAGAGTTTGAAATGTCCGCTGTAACAATGTGTGACTGACAACTCTCACCAACTCCTCGTTTGACCGAGGTTTTATATAGAAACTTAATTAACTTGCATTGCGCCATAATGCACCCCATTTTATTACTGACTTTACTCCGTCTAACGCCAGACAATTTTACTCATCAAGTAGACAGCGCTGGCACTCAATGGTTAAAAGTAAAAAAAAAAAAATGTATTGTACCCATTGAAATGAATATAACTGGAACGCGTGGTTACGTCAAGCGTGTTTATGTCATGATTGACTGATTGAGCGCTCTTCGCATGCGTGAAAAGACTGGGACTAGTCTTTAAGTTTGGCTTCAAATTTCCAGTTGGAGGTAGCGTTCCAGTTCTATTCACTTCAATAATTGTACCTGAGGTGATTTCACATCTAGCACCGCCAGCTTCTAATCCAATCAATTTTCTACATTCCTACACAAATCCTTCGACTGCACCTTAATGAATATGACCATCGACTAAATAGTAAGTAACGTTGTCTAAGCGAACAAGATAGATTTTCATCAAAACCTGTCCACAAGACGCCAATGAAAAACGCAACCTACCTCCACTACCTCCAAGAAGACTTTTATTCGCTGAAATAAAATAATAAATGTGGCTTCACAACACTTTTTATCACGGGTGTCAGATATTGGGATCCGAGGTAACTGCATTACCTGCAAGTGACTGGACTACTGAAGCCTGAAGTCAGAAGGTCCTGTGCACGCTAGTATACATAGTAAAAAATTCAAGTTTTCCAAGTGTCTTTTTGCAATATTTATCGACCAAATTGAACAGGTGTCTCTTTTCTATAACATTTTCTTTTCTATTTTCAAACTTTGTGTGGTTTCACTATTTTCCTGTTCTGTGCACAAATCTTGTTTATCAAATCTCAAGCCGTCAAGCTCCGAGTTATGTTTCCTGTTACCAAAATTGCTCAAAACTTTGGAAACGTAACAATGTTTCCTGGTTTGTCCACCTTGGGAAACGTATAGCTAAGAAACCTACCATCATTCACAATAGCATCAATTTCAAGCTGTGTTATATCTCCTAGCCAGAGTGAAACCTTTCTGTTTATGTGATCATTGTCAGTGGTGAATTCTGAATCTTTTTGAAGCAAGCCTGGTAAAGATGACCAGTAAGTATGACATTTTGGGGGGTGACGTAATAGATAGGAGGGGGGTGTATTAATCAAGAACAGAGGAGGGGGCAATTTTAATGGAAAGAAAGGAGTGTTGATGGAGAAGAGGGTGCAATGAATCTTAATAAAATGGAGAAAGGTTTGATGGAGAAGAGAGCGTAACTTTAATAAAGAGTACGACAAGAGGTTTTTACAAGAGAGGAGGAGTTTAATAGAAGGGTCTTTAAAGGTAAAAAGGGCAAGGGATCTAGCTTAGTTGAAGGATATGACATTATAACAAGGGAGGAAGAGGGGCTTAATAGAGAAAAGGGGGAGGGCATCTTAATAAGAGCGAGAGGCATTAATAGGGAGTAGGGGATGCCGGGATGGGATCATAAACAAAGTAAAGGAGTAGGCTTATAGGGAGGAGAGGCTTTTGATAGAGGATACTGTTTTATAGAGGAGCAGGGATAATAGAGGGAGAGGTCTAAAGGGATGGGGTCTTAATAAGGAGGAAGAGAAGAGCCTCTAAATAGAGAGGAGGGTTCTTAATAGGAAAGGGAAGGTGTCTTAGTAGAAAAGATGGGGGCTTAATAAAGAGCTGGGAATTTAGAGAAGGGGAAAGATTTTTTAATGTGGAGTAAGGTTTTAATGGTACAAAATAACATCAATACTACCTTTCTTAGTAAAAGAATAATGGCTGTCCTTCACATAATCTGGCCATGGTTGTACTTGATCTAAAGTCACATAGTAATTGCCACATCTGTAGTGCGAGCGTTTTTTCTCCAAAGGCATCTTGCTGTAATCCAATCTTTTTGGTTTCTTATTTTCTTTTTTTGTTATCCATGAGCTCCAACCAGTATTTTTGTGAGACTCTTCAGAAAAAAATGCAACCAAATTACTGGAAAGTATTTCATTTATCAGTCATCCTAATTTGATTTTTGCCACGTCTTTTGAAATTTTTTATTTTGCCCAACATATGATATCACTGTAAATTACTTTGCCACATCAATCCATCAAAGTTGTTTCTATGACTATTCACATTTTCCAGTACCACGGCCGCCAAGAGATTAGGGGGTATCACAAAACTAGTCAGGGGCTCACAAAACTAGTCAGATAATCGGAATCGGCAGAATTATCTGTATTTTCGAATATGTAAAACTATTGTTGAGACAATACACACTTTAAGCTCAACCTGAAGACGCTTTTTTATGAAAAAATTGAACATCAAATGTTTAATCTCTTGTGTGAACGGTAGCGTGTTGCATGTTAGGTGTGGAGCAGACCGTTACGGCGCAGAAATAATATGTGAAGCATGCCATTTATGAGCGGTTTTAACAAACTTTGGTTGCATGCAGTAACATGTTACGTTGGAAATTACAGTATCATAAATATTAAAAAATCGAAATGTATGATGTCACTTTTATTTGGTCAACTAACGTTGATGTCATTTTGAAATCAGTATCGTATTGGAATCGGCTAGATTGTTGCACAAATAATCAGTGATGATTACACTAAGCAACAAAGTCTCTTAGAATTCCTTGATACCAGACTGCTTAATTTAACTGACAATATAAATTTTCATTGCCAGATAACATGCAATAAAGCTTCTAAAGTATATATTGTAAACCTTTGTTTCACCCATCATAGGGCCCTCAGAAAATTTTAACAATGTCAGAGGGCCACCTGGGAAAGTTTTGCCCTGGTCCCCACCGCAAACCCTCAGCAGCCCTGTTCAGTACTCACCATGGCGTGGGGGGTTGTTTACAGGTTCCACAGGGTCAGGCAGCGGGTTACTTGCAGATGCAACATGATCAGATGCAGGTATATTTGTAGGTTCCACAGTATCAGATGCAGGTATATTTGTAGGTTCCACAGGGTTAACTAGGGGGTCATTCATAGGTTCCACTGGATCAGATGAGGGTATATTTGTAGGTTCTACAGGGTTAACTAGGGGGTCATTCACAGATTCCACAAGATCAGATGAAGGTATATTTGTGGGTTTTACAAGATCAGCTGGGGGGTTCTTCATAAGTTCCACAAGATCAGCAGAGGGGTTCTTTGTAGGTTCTACAGGATCAGATGAGGGGTTCTTCATAGGACCTACAGGATCAGATGGGGATATATTTGTAGGTTCGACAGGATCAGCTGGGGGGTTCTTTGTAGGAACTACAGGATCAGATGGGAGGTTCTTTGTGGAATCTACAGGATCAGATGGGGGGTTCTTTGTGGAATCTACAGAATCAGATGGGTTCTTTGTGAAATCTACAGGATCAGATGGGGGGTTCTTCATAGGGTCTACAGTACTGTCTTTAAAATCTATAAAATATAGAATATATCTAATTTGGCCTTAATTAAATGAAAAAAGTTATCTGTTGTCACGGTAATTGCTTAAATGCATATTATTTTTTATACTTGTTGGCCTGAAATATGTAAACAAGATTCCAAAGGTTTAATTAGCCAGTGCTGTTACTATTCATGCTCCTGTCAAAGTATCTTGTTCAAAATGTTGGAAATGTTATGGTTATTTTTGAGGTTGATACTCACTGTCAATGTTGAATCACTATATCAAACAGGCCCTGTTGGGGTGGGTGTGCCTGTCGTCTATTTGTCAAAACAAATACAGTAATAATAATATTGCTGCTCAAAAACTTTGCTATGTTGCTTTTGGAATTTTGTTATTGTTTTCTACCTATTTCACGTCACCGTAACAGGGCTTTCAGAAATATTCTGAGTAGGTGGCTGTGTTGCTAAAGTAGCCGCCGGCTGTGGGGAGCGGTCTGGGATGCCTTCAAGTCTTCCAAATTAACTAGTGTATATTGATAGCAACACAACTGAGCTCTGTAACCAAATTAAAAAGTATCACTACTTTCATTCTTTGAACTTAAGATGGCAAAAATAACTTTAACTTTTTTTGAAAGCTTAGAGTTGAGGAAGGAGGGCAGAATTGATACTTCAAGTACTAAACAAAGTAACCGGCGGTAAACCTCGCGCTACCCGCCGGAGCTCCGGCGGCCGCCGGGTTATTTTGAAAGCCTTGCCTTAACCCAGTTTGCAAAATAGGGCGAAAATCAACAAGATCTCATGAGTGCAAACAAAATTTATTGGCGTGCAAATGACAGGTATTAGGATTTTGCCTGGTGTATACCTATTCTTGGATGCTACGTGTAAATCAATCCTCTCTTTTGCCATAATTTTCATTTACCTGGCAATTAACAAAGCAGTGCAACTTCAAATCATCAACTGCTATCAAGCAATTTTTCAACATTTACTGTCGATGCAATGGAAGTGTTGATAAAATATTATCAATTCATTTCCTCAAGCTGATCAATTCATACGAATTCAAATGTTTTTTGCGTTTCCTATTGGTCAATCGGTTCTGAAACAAAATCTAATTGGCTCATCTAAAAGTAACAGGAAGTTGATCAATGTTCTATCAAATGAATGGACATTTGCATTATAGACTAAATTTTGATCAAGACAAAAATTTCATCATAGCTTGAAAGTACATCACAAAATTAGTAATATTCCAAAGTTTTGTTGCGAATTGTTGTAAAATGTGGATAATATAGCCTTGCGAAGTTTGCCGTTTTTCAGCCATTTTGTATTACGCACGGGAAATTGACAGCCCAATTGGGTGTTAGGGCATCAATTTCCCGTTTGTAATACAAAATGACTGAAATTTGCAAATTTCACAAGACTATATTATCCGCATTTTACAACATTTCGCAACGAAACTTTGGAATATTACTAATTTTGTGATGCTCTTTCAAGCTGTGATGAAATTTTTATCTAGATCAAAATTTAGTCTATAATGCAAATGGTCCATTGATCAACTTCAGGAAAGTAATTGGCACAATATTTTATCAACACTTCCATTGCATCGACAGTAACCAATATTTTGGTGTGTGATATGTTGTGTACACTGTGTACTTGCCATGCTCTGCTAATTGGGCTGTAACAATTGATGCACAATTTGTGTTTAATGTCACTATTTTACTCTCATATGTTGCCACTTAAGATAATGTTGTCTGTCTGAATTTTATATCTTAAAAGGGACTCGTTGACCATTAAGATGCATATTTGTGCCCTAAAAGCTAGGCCCTACTTGCAGAAGTATAGAAAACTCTGTCTATAAATGCCAGACATTCAGACAATTTTACTCGTCGGGAAGATAACGTTGGGTCTCAGTGAGTTAAAGTTGTATCGTGCAGCAAGTGGTGGTCAACTGGCAGTTAACAGAGTGAGAAAATAATCAACTTTTTTCATTATATACATTTCTCAAGTTGAACACCTTCTGCTGTTGCGAAAATATAGTTTATATACATACTTTTGTCTGCTGTTGTTGTCTCCATTGCAGAAATATATCTAATTGGAAAAACACCTTTTAAAAACCTCCATAGTCTGCACATTTCCCTCGAGTACGTCTTAACACTAGTTTCATTTTCAATTCTAAATTCGAACCTTTCTTTTCAAAATTCTCACTTTCTGTTACACTTTCTTGGAAAAATAGAAATTTGAGCCCACAGTCACAGTATTTTAGTTCAGAGGTACAGCAATGAAACTTCGTGTAGTACTACCTCAGCTGTATCTCTGGAGGTATGAAGTGTTGGGTTTTTAAATAGTATACAACAGGCCCGTAACTGAGGGGGGGCTGGGGCAGCACCCCACTTGGAAATAAAATGAAATTATGCCCCCTCTATACGTTTTGCAGAACTAATAGCTGTTAATGTTGTTATTTTTTTTGGGCGAGGTACCGAAATTTGGTATGAAAAATTGAGATAAAGTCCCTGGAAAGCAATTGCAATGTACTTCTCCGGAAAATTTTTTTACCTAAAAAGTTGTCGGTTATTGGTCGGTTTCAGTGATCGGTTAAACTTGAAGGCACAAAATTTAAAACTAAGAGTAAAGGTATTTTGATGCTGGATGTTTAATATTTTTGGTATATCGTTACTACTAGTACTAGTGTTCACAAAAAAGATTGAGTCGATTCACGTATTTTTCCTCGAGTTAGAGAGCTCTGAAATTTTTTGTCGAGTCAGTCATAAACCATGTTATACACACAATTTATCATCGTTAAGACATGACTTCTAATAGGACCCCCCAAAAAAGCTAAACATTTTGCCTATTATCTCATACCTAGCGTATTAGGGACCGGTCATTTATTAGAGGGGGGGGGGCTGGTGCAAATGGGGAGGGGGTCATACCTTTTTGTGCACTTGAAAATGGGGGGTTGCATAAAATTCTGCAACCATTTTTGGGGGGTCATACATTTTTGTGCATTCCATTTTCCTATATATTCTACAAAAGAAAACAGCACTGAAGGGATCAACCACAGTCAAATTTTTAATATTTATATGAAAACAAAACAATGTAGTGACAACTACAAGCATAGGCGTACGGGACGGGTGGGCAGCTGCTCCCCCCCCCAAAAAAAAAGATTACAAAGTCGGGCAAATGTTCAACAAAAGTGGGGCAAAAGTCGGGCAAACCAAGCTAGTTGAGCAATATTCTCTTCAAAGTCGTGCAATATTGGGTTATTATAAAAATAAATGGGATAAATTCTGCGAATTTTGCGGGAAATAATGTAAATTTTGCAATGTTAGGGAAAATTTATTTGATGTTCCGAAAAATTTAGGTGTGTCCGAAAAATGGGCAGGTTTATATAAATCTTGGCATTGTTTTCGCAGAATATGTTCATTTTCTCTTTTCAAGAATGAAGGAATATTGTAGAGAATTTTTTTAGCTTTAATTTAAGCCTAAGTTTGTTTGTTTGCGTAGTATGCTGGCGGCTAAAATGTTCGTTATCCAAACACGAAATTATATACTAAAAAGTAAATGCGTATAAAATTCTTCTGCGTACTTTTTAGTATTTTACCTCGCTTCGCTCGGTGAGTTCGGGAAACTTCCAGCCACCCTTGGTGCGTCCAATCCCGGACTCACCTCCCTGCAAGTATGTTTGTTATAAAGCCCCGTTTACACTACGCACAATTTTTGATACGGCACGGATAAAATTGGTACCCGTACCACTTTTTTGGTTCTTGTACTGTCTACTTAGGTAGTCCAAGAACCAAAAAAGTGGTACGGTACCAAAAATGGAGTGTAGTGTAAACGGGGCTTAAAAATCTCGTTGTTATTTTAGCATTTCACATTTGCACGAATGGTTGGTGATCAAGATTTTCGTGTCTTAAATCTCACAAAACACTCCTGTTTATTTCTTGCATGAGTAGTAAATAATATTGCAGGTATAACGTTGTGTACCGTCATCAAACCTGGTTATTTATAAATTTATATATTTCGAAACCAGTGCCACGCAGTTGTAGTATTTTGTACATTTTGTCAAACAACTTAAACTCTACAATTTTTCGTTAACACAAGATAAAATATTTTCTAGAGACTTGAGTACAAATTCAGTATATAAAAGATACACGCTAAATAAAGTTTTGTATTCAAAAGGACAAGGCACGAACTGGACGTTAAGACCATTGCAAGATGCCCCTCCTCTTCTAAAACATAGTCTTATAATATAAATTATAGTCATATAATATTTGCTAAAAGTTTATCATGCGGACTAATTTAATTCTTCATTATTCTCATTTTATTTCGTATACAAATTAAATGTCAATTTTTGTAACATCTTTCGATGAATTTAATATCTATGCCAATGAATAACCTATGATTGATACGTTTTCATTACGTTTTCATTCCATAAAAGTTTAGTTTTCGCGCCAATGCTTCGTTCTTCTTGTTGATGTTGATATCCTTAACAATAGAGTTAATGGAGTGCGCAAACTCAAGTGCTGGTTTTTCCCGCTGCTGTTCATTTCCCAAAAACATACCCCAACTGTGCAACGCTATAACTTCGCCGTTATCATTTACAACCGGTGAACCTGATGCCCCGTGGCCTGTTTGACAGTTGTGAATCAACAAAAAATCCTTTCGCACTTCAAGTTTGTCCCACTTCTCATAATTGTGGACGCAAACAACTTCTTTTTCCTTTCCATCACAATGCTCATGAGGACAGTATTGTTTTGTTTTGTCCTCAACCCATTTACGGATATTCTCTGAAGAGCTTGGTGTATGAACCACCTTCCCCAACATGCATGACTTCGATTCGGCTTTTGGATGACCAATAACAGTGACATTGCTGTTAGGATTAGGCGAACGCGTACAAACCTTTAAGCATTCTCTACCAGGACAGTTGCTCTGAACCTTCAATACTGCGTAGTCCAAATCAACATTGGAAATTTCAGCTTGTTGCGCGACTTCAAATTCGACGCAGCTTGGCTGGGCCTTTGTCAGATAATCAAACTGAATAACTACTTTGATTTCGCGTTGAGTTTGACGTCTGCGTTGCTTGATCGCGGAAATCACATGATAGTTAGTCATTATATAAGATTCACTTTCTTCCTTGGCAACAAGCCAACCTGTACCTGTGTAGGTTGGTTCATCGTCATCTTTGTTTTTCAAAGCAATCATACAGACAGATTTAACACACTTTCCCATTCTCTGAACGTAGTTGGCTTTTTTGTTATAGAAGAAAAAAAACAACAAAAAAATGAAGATTTCGACAGTTGCCGACAACAAGTCAAAGTTATGGTACTGCACTAATAATTATAACAGTAAAGATGAGGACAGGAATTAAGATGAAAAGATAAAAATAACAAGGAGAATAAGAACAACGATATGGTTAACGATAACAGTAAAGATGACAACGAGGATGAAGATAAGACACACACAGACACATACACATACACATACACATACACATACACATACACATACACATACAAACAAACAAACAAACAAACAAACAAACAAACAAACAAACAAACAAACAAACAAACAAACAAACAAACAAACAAACAAACAAACAAACAAACAAAACAAACAAACAAACAAAACAAACAAACAAACAAACAAACAAAACCAAACAAACAAAACAAACAAACAAACAAACAAACAAACAAACAAACAAACAAACAAACAAACAAACAAACAAACAAACAAACAAACAAACAAACAAACACATATAAAACCATAACTTCCTGGCGGAGGTAATAATAGTGATGATTATTTTATTAACTGATTCATACCGTTCATAGATCCTTTGGGATAGGAGTCTCCTGTCAATTGAGAACCTGCGAGTAATTTAAAACAACATATTACAACAAAAAACATGCCTGAAAACATATAGAACCATACAAAAGTCCTGTACAAAAGAAAATAGGTTTTCCACGTTCAAAACTAAAGCTTAGGTACTACCAGCGTTAATGAATTACATTCAATAAAAATGCTGCAAAAAATTCTGATGAAAACACATACGGTACTTTAAAAGTGTGCACAGAAACATATGGTCTTCTAAAATGGGAAACATAAATTGCAAACTAATGTATAGTTAAAGTCTAACCGTAACCAAACAATTACCTGAGCTTGAAGCTTCACTTGAGGTTTCATTTGGCCATCTAAAGTTCGAGCTGTCTTCTACCATAGCTGCATCAAGCACTTGAAAAAACGGATGAAACCATTATATGTAGGGATATATGGCAGCACGAATTAAGATATGGATTCTATTTCGAGTAGTACAAATAATACTTTACGAATAACCGTATAGTGAACGAGTAAAATATTGCTTTCATCACGAAAATATAAAAACATGTATCAGTTAATAAAACAACACAGTCAAAGAAAACAAACCAGCACTCCAGTGCCTTTTTTAAGGAATTTTCACTGGGGGGTTGGGGGGAGGGGGGCAAAACAGGAAAAAAGGCAGAACGAAAACTATGAGCCGTCGAGGTTTGGCGAACGCGCGAGTCTGAAGAGAGATTTTGTAAAACTTTAATTTATTAACTTCAGCTATATTTTACTTTAAACAATAACTTCAACTCTTTGTAGCTATAATCGTACAGCTATAACCAGTGGCGTAGCCAAACCTTAATTTTGCGGGGGGAGCGAACCT